AAAGGTCAGATGTTGGTGGCAAGCTACCTGAGGGTGGGGGGGTGGAAGCCTCTCCAGGTGTTGAGAAAAACCTAGGATGGCAGAGCAGAATAGGGCCTGCTCAGACTGGCAGCAACTCTCCGGGTTCTTAGACTCCAGGGTTTTTCACATCACCTACTGCCTTTAACTGGAGATGCTAGGGATTGAACCTGGGACCTTCTGCATGCCAAGCAGATGCTGTATCACTGAGCCACAGCTCCTAAAGCAAATGATAGTTCTTGCAGTTTAAAATCCACATCATAGTAAAGCCTGCTTAGAGGGAGGGGGGGCTGTAGTGCTGGGGAGTTTGTGCAAGTTTGTGACGTCACAGGCTCTGCCCCTCCATACACGCCCGCTGCTTGGCTTTGCTACCTGCCACAGGGCAGGGGGCGGGGGCTGCTGAGCTCTGTGAAAGAACCGGCTTCACCCCACCCCCTTCCAACGAGAGGTCTTGACATTTAGCCCAACTAACAAGCCATCTTCTTTGCCTCCACCAGAACAAAGGAGTTGTGCATGTGGCGTACAGCCAAGAATCCCATCATTATAAACAAAAGAGTTGGGTTTTATACAACATGGGGGAAAGCTCAAAATCAAACTAAGCCCCCAAAGGCCTCTCTTATTTTATGTTTGCAAAGATGTGGGAGGGTATGGACACTACCCCGGTTCCCTCCCCAAGGATTCCATGCTTCATTCAAGGATTCCGTGCTTCATCCCTGCCCCGCCAGGCCTTGCTGCTTCCGACCGACTATCCCGTGATGCGCCTCCTGTCTTCCTTCCTTTTTTGCAGTGCGGGGGTGGGGAGGACCGGCGTCTTCATCACGCTGAGCATCGTGCTGGAGAGAATGCGCTACGAGGGAGTGGTGGACATTTTCCAGACGGTGAAGATGCTGCGGACACAAAGGCCCGCCATGGTGCAGACAGAGGTGAGAGGAGGGGGCTACATGGGCACATACCCCCCCCCACACACACACACATTATATCACTAGCACTCCTGTACACGCATGGAGGCAACTCCCTCGGGCTTGAGGTGATGCAGTGCAGAAGTTGCATTGGTGACAGTCTGTTTTGCTATGCTCATCTCCCCCCAGATGGTCTAGAGCAGGGATCCCCGACATGGCACCTGTGGGTACCTCTCCTGGTGCCCGCCAAGTGTCTTTAGAAAGTGGGTGTGGCCAGCTGGGGTTTTTGCCAAGCAAGGCTTCTCATTGGCCATTGGGGATTCGATTGACGATGCATATTTTTCAGCAGGGCTTTTTTTGTAGAAAAAGCCCAGCAGGAACTCATTAGCATAACAGGCCACACCCAACAGCAGAAACCCATTAGCATAGTAGGCCACACCCTGACAGCACAGCACATTAGCATAGTAGGCCACACCCCCATGTCACCAGAAGTGTTGTCATCCAGCCACACCCACCTTTTGCTTCTTATTCTGTTTACCTTGTTTGTTGTCAAAACCCAGGGCTTTTTTTGTAGCAGGAACCCTTTGCATGTTAGACCGCACACCCCTAATGTAGCCAATCCTAATGAGTTTCTGCTGTTGGGTGTGCCCTGTTATGCTAATGAGTACCTGCTGGGCGTGGCCAACTCAGGAGCCAGCCGGAACTCTGTTCCTGTGCGTTCCTGCCCAAAAATAGCCCTGTTTTTCAGGCATTTTAGGTAAGGAGCTGCATCTCATCATCTATGCCCTGTGCCAATATTATTTCCAGCCTGAATCCACCCATAGCGGAACTTACCGCTGATGTATATTTCATATGCACTTTACAGTAAGGCACAGGGAAGGGGAAAAAAACCTGACCCAAAAACTGGAATCAAGAAGCAAAAGGGTGAGAAAAAGTCTAATGAGGGGCCAATATTAAAAACCTAGTTAAAACTGATAATGTACAAAAATACAAGTATTTATTAGAAAGACAGTTAAAAACATACATAAGAGCCCAATGAAAGCCTCATAAAAAAGTATAGCCTAAACACAAGGGCCAGTATGCATGACCTGACGCGTTTCTGCCCTATTGGGGCCTTCTTCAGAGGTCAAACAATATCGAGGTACACATAACTTACATACATATTGCAATAAGATAACCAATAAGTGAAGAATTAGAAATTTCCAGTTAAGGTCCAAAAAACACCTGTGTGGCTATCGAAGTCAGAGCTAGAGTGTCCTCAAGCAAATAGCAGACTTTCTTCTCACTCATATGCACTTTACCACCGTTCTACCGCTGTCGCTATGGAAATTGTTTTTAATAACTCTGTTGTGTGTGTTACACTGAGATTTATATTGTTGTCTTATTTACTGTTGTTTTATTTATTGCTATCTTATCTGTTTATTGCTATCTTACGTAAGCCGCCCTGAGCCTGCCTCAGCGGGGAGGATGGGGTAAAATCAAAATCAAATAAATAAATAAATAAATAAAACGTTGCTTCGGCGGCAGCTGCCCCCACCACCACCACACAAGCATCTTCACTGGGTGACTGAAGGTCAGCAGAGGCAGCCGTTTTGTAGCTGGCTCCGCCTCCCGTGGCCAGCCATTTTGAAGCTGCAGTTTTGTGGCGGCGCCCACCGTGCTGTGTCAGAATTCCAAAGGTGCCCCCAAGCTGAAAAGGTTGGAGGACACCCAATTCTAGAAGATGACTGGATCAGGAGACAGAACCTTGCGCTGCCAAAGGGGCCACCGCAGATTTGCCGCCGTGTCACACAGAACGTGACCGCTCAACCAACTCTCTTTGTACATTCGGCCGCTCCCCCCCTCCCCCCCATCAAGCCCTGAGTCACCGAGTGTTTGGACACTTCCGTGCGAACCAGCCCCGGGCGTCTTTCCAGAGCAGCTGGGGCCGGCTGGGGCTGAGGGGACTCTTCGAAGCTGGCGGAAGGCTGCTGGGGATGCTCTCAAGTTTCTTGATTATGTTTTGTCAACAGCACTTAGCGTGTTTATCGTCTCGCTTCACGTACACTGTCTCGGGAATCCTTACAGCGAGCGTGCAGTTTGTGGTTGTGATCCACACCGTGCAGATGACTGGGATGGGGGGGAGGGGCTGAGCTCCACTGGGGGCCTCCCAAAGGATGGAGAGGAGCAACCATCCGTCTCCCTCCCCAGCCCCTGAGTTGAAGGCTTCCCCCCCTAAGTTAAAATTTTACACTCCGACATCCAAGAGGGTTACCTCAGCTTAGTCGGAGAGGACTCTTTATGTTTCCCACTGGGATAAACTTGTCGAGCTGCAGCTACAGTTCCTCAGTCTCTCCTTGGATTCTCTTTATGCGGCTACTAGGCAGGAGGCCGTAAGAATGATCAGGAAGCATCTATTCAAGTACGATTTTAACAGCACCATCTGTAGAGCACGGCGTCTTTGTTCTACTCAGTTTTTTGGTATTCTCCCACCTGGAGAGCTCCCCGATTGCTGCTGGTATTTGACCATTCGTTGCTAGAGGCATGCCTTTTTTGTCGGCGCCCCTTCGTGCCCCGCCGTCTAGAGTTTTGCCAGGGAGGTGTCTTCAGAGACCATCCTCTGATACAGGGTGTGCGGCTGTGGGGCAGGCAGTGCAGATGGCCCTGTATCCCGTTGTCCTTTGGATGCAGTCATTTCCCTGAGCCTAGTAAAGGTAAAGGTTTCCCTTGCTCGAAAGCCAGTCGAATCCGACTCTAGGGTTGCGGTGCTCATCTCCGTTTCCAAGCCGAAGAGCCAGCGCTGTTCAAAGACGTTTCCGTGGTCATGTGGCCGGCATGACTAAACACCAAGGCGCACGGAACGCTGTGACCTTCCCACCGAAGCGGTATTTATCTACTTGCAATTTCTTGCTTTCGAACTGCTAGGTTGGCAGGAGCTGGAACTAGAGATGGGAGCTCACTCCATCATGCGGCATCCGGGTCTCGAACTGCTGAACTACTGACCTTCCACAGCCTGCAGTTTAGGGTCTTAACCACTTGAGCCACCGCAGCTCCTTCCTGAGCCTAGAAACCTTTTAAATTCTTCCTTTGCTCTGAAATAGAGATCACACGGAGACATCACCTCTTTTATTACAGGATAATCGCAGGCCTATCACTCTTTTAGCTGCGAAATCTGATGTATCCGTGATGGATTTTCACAGCCGTTCAACTGAGGTCTAGCTTTTTCTATATTTTAGTCATCTCCAGTTTGGTGTCCTGGTTAAGTGTATGGACTCTAATCTGGGAGAACCGGATTCGATTCCCCACTCCTCCACTTGCACCTGCTGGATGACCATGGGCAAGCCGTAGTTCTGATAAGAGCTGTTCTCGAAAAAGAGCAGTTTCTGCCAGAGCTCTCTCAGCCCCACCTACCTCACAGGGCGTCTGTTGTGGGGAGGGGAAGGGAAAGGAGTTTGTAAGCCGCTCTGAGACTCCTTTGGGTAGTGAAGGGTGGGGTATAAACCCAATCTCTTCTTCTTCTTCTTCCTTAAATCTAATCAGTTAAGAAGCTGTATGAGGTAGTATGGTATAGTATGACTCGAAAGCAATTGGAAAGAAGAGACCTTAGCCTGTTTACACCCCTCCCCCTTTGCCTCTGCTCGGCAGATTCAGTAGGTTTTTGTATCACTTCCCAAACCTGCAAACTGTATTGGACCAGAAGCAGAAAGTGGCACAAGGAAGGTGTGCCTAGACACCACTGGAAGGGAAGCATCTTTCCTTCCACTTCCAGTGCAGTAGTCTGTCTGTCTCCAGCCTCATTCTGCTTCTGTGGTTAAGGGGAGATTTAAACAGGGACTTCCTGGCTCACAGCTTAGTCGAAAGCACACATGGGAGATGGGTCATGAGCCCTACTTAAAAAAACAACAAAACACCTGTTTCCATCTTACTTTTCAGTTATTAGCCACATAGCAGGTTCAACCCCTAGGTGCACTACATTTAAATTTGCCTTTAAACACTCAAAAAGGACAGCAGAGCACAGGAAAATGTGACATGGGGAAGGGGACACGCTAGAAGTGGCCCCACTGGTGGACCTCCTGATGGCACACGGTATTTTGGCCGCTGTGTGACAGAGTGTTGGACTGGATGGGCCATTGGCCTGATCCAACATTGGCTTCTTATGTTCTTAAATTATGCTCAGGGCTTTTATGAGGAGAGGGATTAAATGCACATGGGCTTCACTCTGCTGAAAGGGAGTAGTTTCGTTTTGTTTCACTTTTGTTTTAGATTCAATCTATATATCTAATAGTGAACTGGACCCCTCTGTGCGGATCCTTAAATCCGGACATCGGGGGCACTTGGAGGGAGGGAGAGGTTTGTGCACACGTGGGGCAGTCCCCACGTGTGCACAAAAATCCTAAATGGTGACAAAAATTTCGGGGGAATGTTTAAATCCCCCCAAAAGTGCCAGAGCGTTCCGTGCGCATGGACACGGAACGCTCTGCGACCAAGGCTACCGCCGCCGCCGCTTGGAAGGGAAGTGGCGAGCCGGGAGGGGGGGTAGAGTGGCGAGGGCCGATCGGCTCGCCCTCGGTTCGGAGCCGGGGGGTGGGGGTGGGAAGAGAGAGAGTGATCCGCGAGGCCCAGCGTGCCCAGCGGCACGCCGCTCGGCCGTCGTTTCGGGGCCGGAGGGGGGGGACGGCGAGGAGCGGGGGGGAAGGCAAGGGGGTGGAGGACACGGGGGAACCAGCGGGATGGGGGGTACTTACCTCCTCCTGCTGCTTCCTTTTCCTCCCCCCCCCCGCGAGGAGGGCCAGCTGGACAGCGCTCTTGAGGAGCGGGGCGGGCTACCTCTCCGGGCTGTGGGGCTCGGAGCGGGGGGGGGAGAGAACAAGTGGAGACCCAACTAGAACACAGTAGGCAACATTTTGTTGCGGGTCTCCACTTGTACCTTTTATATTTATTTTCCTTGAGGTTGGCCCCTTTTGCCATCCAAAGGAGTTTAATAATTTTGAATGGCCACCAGATCAGGTCGCTGTGGCTATGGCGGCGAGCTGACTGAGACATTTAACTTTGATAAAGGGGTTAGGCTGGGCTGCCTTTTGGGCCCTTCTTTTTGGTCACTCTATATAGGAATTATCTCTCGTCTTGCTTTAAGAAGCTTTGCCATCCATCCCATTTGGCCAATTGCAGTATTCCGGTTCTGCTTTATGCTGATGATACTTCTCGGCTCTCTCGGACAAGAGTTGGTCTGGAGAGATCTTTAAACATTTCCTCGGAATATTGTATTAAGGAAGGCCTGAAAACAAACCACCAGAGAACGAAAGTAGATGTTTTCTCCAGAAAAGAAAAGACAGAATCCCTCAGTATTCATATGGACTCCGCATGGAGAAGAAATTCAACAAGTGAAGGAATTTTCATATTTGGGTATCCTTTTCACATCTAACCTAAAATGAGAGCCTCGTCGGTCACTGATAAGGAGAAAAGCAAAAACCTGTGCCAACGGCATACTAAACTTTTTTCAAAACAGTGGTGGGAACCGATGTTCCTTCTAAGCTGTGGAGTCTTCTGAGCAAAAATTCTCCTTTGTGAGCCGCTGGCATTAAAGTTGTGAGCGAGCGGTTTGGCTCCTGCACAAACCAGTTTGCTCTGGAGCCCTCCTTCCTGAGCGAAGACCAAAATGTCTGAGCTGGAGGCTAAAAAACTAACTCACACTAACCCAGCTTAGAGGGAACACTGGTGGGAACTGTATTCCAGGTGCTGTTCAAGTCTTTAACCTAAAAATCATTCCTATTAATCCTTTACGGAGTAGCCATAAGGTTTGTGTCGGTAAATGAAAACATCTTTTATATTTTCTGAGAAAATTATTAAACACCTCTTGGTGTGTGGCCAGTTGGGGCCCTCTGTTCAGAACTTGGCCAACCCTCCGTTGAGCGTTTAGACTGTTCATCGAGTCATACTTGAGCGGCAAGGGCTACCTGGCACTCCTGAAAGAAGACTCTTATAGGTCAATGTGGTTTAAGACTGTTTCTGAGAAACTGTTGGCTCTTGACGTTAACCTGGACACTATCCAGGCCCTGGGGTTTCATATAGTATTTGCGTTGGTGAGAAATCGTGTAAAATCAATCGATCACCAAAGCTCTGCCTTTAGAACATGCCGCACCTGTTCATCCCAATTTTTTGGTATTCCACCTCCAAAATCTCTTCTCTCTTACACCTGTCTGTTGTCTTCCCAAAGCCTGTTAAGGGAGTATATTCTGGCCAGACTAAATGCTCACTCCTCAGCAGTTATGAGGGGTAGGTTCATGTGTTGACCTTATTCAGATAGCACATTACCTTCTGGAGTGCCCTTTGTACGCTAATCTCAGGAGGCGTTATATTTTACCGTGTTTGCGAGTTCATTCAGACATATATTCCTATGACTTAGTTACCTTTTTACTTTCTGAAAGGGATCCAAAAAGAACTCTAGCCATTGGGGGGAGGGGATTACTTGGGTGGTAAGTGATTAACAACAGCTACCCACCACTCAGGATCAATGTATCATAGACCTTTTATTGGATAAAAAGGGAAAGGAAATTATGCTCAAGATGAAGAAAATGGGGGAAAGAGAGAATGTTTTTCCTCCTTTTCCCATAAGACAAAGACATTCCAAGAAGTTGATGGGCATTTGATTTAGGACAGAGAAAAGGAAGTCCCACAAGCGGCAATTGGCTTGTAATATTCATGCAGCACATGGGACGACTGCAATTTGACTTTAAAAGGGGTTAGACAAATTTGTGGACAAAGACATGTTGAGAAGTCATAACCAGTGTTCCCTCTAAGCCGTGGAGTCTTGTGAGCAAACATTCTACTTTGTGAGCTGCTGGCATTAAAGTTGTGAGCGAGTGATTTGGCTACTGCATCGGTTAGTTTGCTCTGGAGCCCTCCTTCCTGAGTGGAGACAAAAACATGTGAGCCGGAGGCTAAAAAACTGTGAGCTAGCTCACACTAACTCAGCTTAGAGGGAACATTGGTCATAACTCTCTGAATGCCACTGCTGGGGGGCTTTGGTCTCCATGTCCTGCTTGAAGGACTTCTGGGAGCATCTAATTGGCCACTTTTGGGAACAGGATGCTGGCCTAGGTGGACTGTGGATTCTGATGCAGTGCAGAGCTGGTTTGATGTCCGCACAGGTGGCCTTGCTTGTTATAACCTCTCCCTCTCTCTTTGCTCTCTCCCATTTCCCGTTCTCCAGGACGAATATCAGTTTTGTTATCAAGCAGCGCTGGAGTATCTGGGCAGTTTTGATCACTATGCAACATAAAAACGAACAAACACACAAAAAGCCATCCATCTTGCGGACTCTTTTACCACTTAAAGTCCCCGGAAGTCCCCTTCCCCAGCTGGAGAGGTGAGCTTGACCTTTTTTTAAAAAACAAACAAACAAACAACCACAAACTGAATCAGAAGAACGTTTCCTTTTTTATTTTCGTTTTCCATTTTGGACACTCCAGTGGGGAAAAGAGGAGCGAGCCAGGAAGTAGTAGAGGAAAAAATATACTCACAACATCCCCTATGGCTCCGGGACCCCTGTGCATTTGTTTTGGTTGTTGGTTTTTTTCCTTTTCATTTTTTTAAGAACCTGGACCGCAAAGAGGGGGGGGCGGCTCAGGAAGAAGATTCCTTTTTAAGTGGCGAACTTGTTCTTACCTCATTTGGTGTTCACGGTGTGGAAGTGACGGCAGCACACAGACAGCGCAGAACTGATCCAAACACTTAATGAAACTTTTTTTTAAAAATGAGAAAATACCCTTGAGAGGGCCCCCACCCCACGCACCCACCTTGGAAAACAGCAGCCTGGTTTTGGGGGGGGGAAGCCGAGAGAGGCTGAAGAAAGATCGCCGAGGAAAGGATTGGACCGTGGCAATGAGGATATTGTTGTAGGCTTCAGTTTACATACTAATCTAGTTGAAAAATCTTTACAGGAAGTCACTTGCAGGTTCGCCAAAGGTCGGGGTGGGGAGACGAGACACACACAGAAAGGCGGTGAATTATTTCGCACCAAAAGAACACATCGTACAAAGGTTATCCAGGGGAAACTTCTGTCCTTCTGGAAGACTCGGGGTGTTTCTGCCACCATGCAAACGAGGGGGGGAGGTCTCTCTGCCCCCTCCACCCATTCTCATAGCTCATCCTTTCAAAACTTGGAACATTCCCCATGTATTCAAATTCCTCAGTTTTCTGTGTCAGAAAGCAAAACCACCATGCAATAAAGAGTCTCTAGGGGACCCGAAACACAGGATCTCGAAAATGAGGGACGGGCATCCTCTTTTTTTCTATACATCCCTCCCCCCCACCAGCCCCACATCTCCCTGTGCTCTGGTCATTTTTGGTTCATTCCCACTTACCTCCCCTTTTCCAATACGAGGTATGGAATGTGTTTTGTTTCTAATGAAGGGAATCCTCTACTCACACTGCTGAATCCACTTGCACATCAAAATGAATTTTTCCGACCACGTATTTTAGTGGGTGTGTCCCTTCCCGTACCCCCAATGCCAAAGAGGAAAATGGCAGAGAGGCCCACATGGGGAGGGGGTCGCCGAGCAAGGGGAGGCAATTTGTACTGCTAGCAGGATTAGACCGAAGCAAAGAGAAATGGCTGGAGGGAATACCTGCGAGGGGCTTTCTTTAAAGCTATCGATGTAACTTAGCAAGTGACATTATTTTTTTTTGTTGCTTTTTTTTCCCAAATAGTGTATTTTTTTTCCTTTTTAAAAAATATGTAAAAAAAATTACAAAAGATATCAGTCAATGAATTTACAAAAAAAAATTACTTATTTGTTCATATTCTGTTCAAAGACAAGTCTATTTTTTCACTGTAGAAATGTTACGTGTAATGGCTGTGGTACATGAGAGACGCATCATGTGGAAAAAACGCTACTTTACATACTGCTTTTTTTTACCATTTAAAAGAAGTTTAATCCGCTCATGTATGGACGACGACAAAAAAAAAAAGTTGCTGCTTTTTATATTTCTTCTCCCCCCCCCCTTTCAAAAAGGCATATCAAGTCTTCGGAAGGCGTCAGGTTAGAGGCGTGGGTGCGGGAAGAGCCAGTTTGGTGTAGTGGCTAAGTGTGCAGACTCTAATCTGGGAGAACCGGGTTTGATTCCCCACTCCTCCACTTGCACCTGGCTGGACGACCTTGGGCAAGCCGTAGCTCTGATAAGAGCTGTTCTTGAAAAAGAACAGTTTCTGTCACAGCTCTCTCAGCCCCACCTACCTCTCAGGGTGTTTGTTGTGGGGAGAGGATGCCTGTTCTTCAAGGGACCAATGGCAAGAGGGGAGATTACATTTAGAAGGCTGCGTGTCATGGAAAAGACTGGGATTTGGGAGCCACGCCAGAATGCGGAGAACCAGAGGAGCAGGGCACTGGCGGCACCCCGGGGAGGGGACGACACTAGCCCAGTAGGTTCTCCGGCAGCCAAGGATAAGGCCCCTCAAACCACGTTGAATGCGGCTTCCCAGCCCCACGGGGACTGCACAGTCCCCTCCCCTTCAAGAAACACCCGGTCGATAGCAGGCTTATCAGAGCCGCGTCCCAGGCCGGAGCACTGGGCTCAGTTTGGTGGGCCAGGATTTGTGGGGCCTTGTCCACAAGTTTAGGATCAAACAGCATGCTATGCTGGCTGTCCTGTTTCGGGGTGGGGGGAGTGTTCCTTTCCCAATGTAGCTTTTCCAAGGAGGGGAGCGGCCGTTCTCAGACCCCCTTTCCCTGTGATTAAAAGACATCTCAAGCTGTTTGTACCTCCCCTTTGGGGGGGGGGATAAGGGTACTGGGAGGGCGCCCCGTGGGAGGGTGGCAGGAGGAAACGGTTCACACACACACCCCTTTCCAGCAGCACTAAGGCAACATGCAGCTTGATCCTCCCGTTTGGATGTACGAAACCAAGGTTCAAATCCCCGCTCAGCCTTAAGATTACTGGGTGGCCTCAGGCCAGTCACTGTCTCTCAGCCTACCCTACCTCACAGGGATGTTGTGAGGATAACATGTGACCCCCCCCCCGCCCAGCTCTTCTGAGGTAAATATACCACGGGGGGCGGGGCAGAGTGCTGGCGTTATTCGTACCCTGTTTCCTCAGCCTCAGTGTGTTCTCTGGATTACAGCCGATCCCCCAATCACCACCTTTGACAATATAAATGGTACGGAAATAGCCCCCCCCCCCCAAAGAGGGGCCATCGATTCATATCACTCCTCGCTTTTGTTACTTTCCGGAGGGGTTTCACACAACTGGGGGAGGGGATGGGGAGCAAAACCCCACCTCAATGCTTCCTCCAGATAACACCAGGAGGTTCTTTTAAGTACGACGTAGAGAAAGGTCAGCACACACGGGGGCGGGCGAGAAGGCAGGGGTTGCGGCAAACCCCTTTTTAAATTTTCTTTCCCCTTTTTTTAATTTTTCTTTTTTCTTCTCCCTCCTTTGTATGAAAGCAAGGCCCCTGTTGCTCTCACACTGTTATTTCCAAACAAAAAACAGTTTAAAGTGGTTACTCAGACCACGGTGTATGTAGATATATATATTGACTTTGTATTAAAGGAAGATTGTCTGAAAAAAACCAACGCCTGGCTGAAGAGACTCTGTGTGTTTGTGGGCATGCAGGCACCCACGTGCCATGAATAAGGTCGCCGGCTCTGGGCTGGGGAATACCTGGAGGTTTTGAGGGCGGAGCCTGGGGAGGGCGGGGCTTGGGGAGGGCGTGGCTTGGAGAAGGGAGGGACCTCAGCCGGGCATAATGCCACAGAGCCCACCCTCCAAAGCAGCCGTTTTCCCAAGGAGAACTGATCTTGGTTGTCTGGAGAGCAATTGTCATAGCAGGAGATCTCCAGGTGCCACCTGGAGGTTGGCAATGCTATGCATGAAGGCACGGGAGGGAGGTGCAGACAGAGGAAGGGCTCGCATGTTGTTTAAGGCCTCAGGATCCAAATGGAAGACAACGCCTGTGCTTTCGCCTCTGGTTATCACACGTTTTGGCAGGGCTCTTTTTGTAGAAAAAGCCCAGCAGGGACTCATTAGCATAATAGGCCACACCCAACAGCAGGAACTCATTAGCATATTGGGCCACACCCCTGACAACACAGATCATTAGCACATTAGGCCGCACCCCCATGTTACCAGAAGTGTGGTCATCCAGCCACACCCACCTTTTGCTTCTTATTCTGTTTACCTTGTTTGTTGTCAAAACCCAGGGCCTTTTTTGGTAGCAGGAACTCCTTTGCATGTTAGGTCACACACCCCTAATGTAGCCAATCCTAATGAGTTTCTGCTCTTGGGTGTGGCCTATTATGCTAATGAGTTCCTGCTGGGCGTGGCCAACTTGGGAGCCAGCCGGAACTCCGTTCCTGTGCGTTTCTGCCCAAAAATAGCCCTGGTTTCGGCATTGTTTCAAGAAACTACGTGGCCTGCCAGACCAGAGGCGACCAGGGGACGCTCCATGAAACGTGAAGCCACTCTCTTCAAAAGCTTTGTCAGCATCCACCCTGACGTGAGGCTCCATCCCCCACTGAACTTCAGGAGAATGGTACAGGAGCACCACCCTCTACGCAGCTCCTCTTCATTTCGACAAGGCTGGCATGGTGCCAACGGCCACTCTGGAACCCGCTGCCACCTTCCCTGCTGCCTGCCTGTTGTTCGTCAAAAGCGGGTGGGTTTTTTGCCCAGCGGGGCTTCTGATGGACCGTTGGAGATTTGATCAGTGGTGCAGATTTTTTTAGAAGTTGCTTCGGCGGCAGCTTCCGCCACAGCACAAGCGCCTTCACTGTGTTCATATGTTCGATATGTTCATTTTGGGAGGCATCGCCGTGACGTCTTGTGATTCACTCTGCCTCCGGCGGCAGCCGTTCTGTGGTGGTTCTCGCCATCTCATGTCCAAATTCCATAAATGCCCATGGGGCCAAAAAGTTGGGGGACTCCCTGCCCTAAGCTAACATCCCTACAGATAACAGAGTTATAAGCAATACAACCAAGTGTGGCAGCATTTCTGCTTCGGGGGGAATCGGGCATTGCATGGGGCCGGAGGATAGGGGGTGTTGACATTTTAATAAGGACCCACCAAGAAGAAACCAGGATTGTAGGCTTCATTTACAGAGCAAAGTTCATGCATGTTGGAAGTTGGGCGGTGGTTTTGCACCCCTCCTGGAGTTCTTATTAATTGACCCCCCCCCTTTTTTAAATTCCAGCCATTCAACGCCATCCTCTGAGGCAGATCCATCGTGATCTGCATTTGTTGTCTCTGTAATGTCCCCTTTTGCTGGGGGTTCCCAGGTTCTAGTATTCACTCAGGCTCCCATTCTCAAATCCACTCAGCAGGGACAAGCTGGCTGGGCGAAAAAATCAGCTGTTTCTTTGCGAGACAATTCCAGCAACCCAAAACTTCTGCTAACATACGGAACGGAACAAGAGCGCCCCCCCAATCGGACCAAACCAGATCACATAGATAGCAGGGGAGGAGTAAACTGTTCCATTACATGCATACATATTTCTTGGAAATATACCACACGCCCCCTTCTTTTCTTTGGTTTAGTCGGTACAACTCAAATACTACAAAATGTGGAGTCTGAGGTTACTAGCACTTGACTCACTGCTGGGGTTCGCCTTTACTGCTAACCCATCATATAGTCCTTTATTGTAGCAGGCCACCTGACCACCCACCCACTCTTTGTTCGTACACTTTCGACTGGGGAGTTGTCAAGCGTTGGGAGCACTGTTCCCTCTAAGCTTTGGGGTCTTGTGAGCAAAAATTCTACTTTGTGAACTACTGGCATTTAAGTTGTGAGCAGACGATTTGGCTGCTGCATAAATTAGTTTGCTCTGGAGCCATCCTTCCTGAGCTAAGACAAAAATGTGTGAGCCGGAGGCTAAAAAACTGTGAGCTAGCTCACACTAACTCAGCTTAGAGGGAACACTGACCTGGAGTGCTGTGATCCGCTTCTCTGGGCAGGTCTAGAACGTCAGCTGAGATCCGTTCTGATACAGCGTGATCAGGCATGGCAGGAAATTCTGGAGCCGCAGAGGAATGACGTTTTCTCAAATGTCTCCTATTCCTCCTCTACACATTTCCACTCGGTGTTTCAACAGTATAGCAATGTGGCTCAGTCCTCTTGCCTGTAACTGATGCTGGTGCCCATCCGGTATGTGTCTGCATCCACACACACTCCCCCTCTTGCAGGGGTGGAAGGGACCTGGCGTATCTGTCATTGCAGGCCTTTTGTCAACACTGAAGGGCCTTCGACTTCTTCAGAACTGAGAACTGTGGATGCCAGTTTGGATGTTAAAGCGGCTGATGTAGCCGGTAGAATGCTGCCTTCCCATAAGGAGCTATATTCAAGTGGGATATCTCTTATCAGTCATTCCAGTCCTGGCTATCCCCAATCCAATGGTCAGGCTGAACGCATGAATCGGACGGGCAAACACACGTTCAAAAATGTTTCACTAGATGGTTCAGTTCTTAATTTGGCCTTCCTCAACTTGAGGAACAAACCTTCCTGCTGTTCAGGCCCCTGTTGCCACAATGTATGGTTTGTCAACAGGGCTTTCAGAAGTGCAGTCGGACTTGATTCCTTTGGCATATATTGTATTGTATAATACCTAAGAATCTCTGAAGGCCTTTCTTGTCAACAA